TGACTTCGTAGAGCCGGCTTTGAAACTGCTTCGGTTGTTAGTGCAGGTTTGTGGACTGTAGGACAAATTTGCCCTGATTTGCTCAGAGTTTTCAGAAACGAATTTAGTGCTTTGTTCGCTTCCGTAAACTGGCTGTCGCTAATTATCGAAAATGGCTTGTTGTGTAGCTCGTTGCGCAAGTACCGATCGATGGCGGCTCTGATCGAGGTAAGAGTTGCTTTATTATAATAACCTCCTCCGTCCTGTTTTCTTGCAGACATATAAAATTTCCTCGAGCATTTATTTAATTCCTCCTTGTTTATCTCTTCTACATCTGGGGTATAGTTCGTCTTGCTCGGGAAACCAGTCTATAAAGAAATTGCTTGTTTTGTTAGAAATTGTTTCCGAGGTAAGGACTCACGAATGTCAGTTTATTGACAGTTGTCGGGAAAATAAAACACCAAATACTTTTTAACACTGTGGAGTCTTCTCTTACCTTTAAAAACTTTCATCCCACATTTAGTTGTCTTTTTTGTATTATCAGGCACAGCCTCGTCTTGTATTTGTAAAATTTCTGCCTCTGAAACTTTAGCGAAACGCAAGTTTACGCCCGCCAATTTGTTTTTCCCATTATCCACTCGCTCGGAGGTGTACATTGTTGATTAGCCCGAGATAGCGAACCAATCAGATTGTTTGAAACGCCAAGATCCCTGAGTGTGTATTTACTAATATGATATATTTACTTGCTGCCAATTCAGCGGTCAAAAAGTATACTCCACTAATTCAGGGCCTACATGTTCTAAGTTTGAATTGGTAAATATTTCACATATCAAAGGTTTATACCGCAGACAATGCGACACGAGGGCGTGCTTGCAACTGTCAACGATTCCTCACCCAGAAAATAATATCCCGAATAGTATTTAGCCTAAAAAATAACTCAAACGGGAAAATACACCAGCTTAAGTTACTGTAAACTAGACAGTTTAAAGATGCCCCTTAAACTGACGCCTCTACCTTCGGATTAATTTCTTCATCATAAAGGTTTCGTTTACCTGCATGCCAACAAAAAAAAAATCTTTGTTACCTGCGACCAATTATGTGACACTGCTTCGCATTAACTCGCACCGGCATCACGTTATTGTGCAACTTCACTGCAGTTTTCCTACCCTAAAACCCGTTGAAAAGGTGAAAAGGTTTTGTAAATTCAACAGTTGTCCTGGTTAGAACTTCGCGTAGTGGTTTTACGTCCTCGCATACAAATTATTATTATTAATCCTCTTCGTGTCACTAAGAGACACATAAGGCCTCGACCAGAGCTCGCATACAACAATCGCCTTTTAATTCCACAAAAAATCGCTTGTTTTTTTACAAGGACGTCTAATTAGGGGGCTGAGGTTACATTTTTTTTTTTTGAGATTTGAGCCTGAAAACGCTCTTAAGTTGATTGTACTGTGCAATAAGAAAACCGCATCGTTCAATTTAAGGATTTGTCCCTAAGTATTTGAATTTATGGTCCTGTCAGGCCACAGTTTTACATTTGTCTTACTTTTATTTATACTTCTCACAGAAAAAAGAGCAAAATAAAGACGTTCTTCTGAACTGACTTTCTGCCTGGGTTTGTTCTTTGTAAAGAACAAATAATTGCCAGACTATTTTTAGGTAACACCTGTTTCACTGCCAGAGTTTTCTCTCCTATTTGCTATTTGCTCGTATTTGCCTCGTATATGCAACGTAAAAACCTTTCTGCTACATTCTCTTATCTCTATAAGCCTTTTTTTTCTATGTGATTCCATTTGTTTCTGTCAAATATCGCACCGTGGCGGACGGTCATAGGGAAAAATCCACGAGCTAAACGACAACAACAAACAAATTACCAGTTCTCAATATGCAAATAATTAAACAGTTCTTAACAGCATTCTCTTAGATTTCTATCCACGGTCGTTTAAGAGAGTATTGTTTTTATTTGTAACAAGCAGGCCAAAACACAGCCAGCACAATATCAAATAGTTCGTCGTACGGGTGGGCGCAAATTCTGTAGAATAAAAACTGAAATTGACTCCAATCTTATCCAGTTTGCCTGGAATTCACACTCTTCACGGATGACCACCATAGCTGCTCGTGTAAATCATCGATCATGTCTGCTAATGTCCGCTTCATCTGATTGTTATTACCGTCACGAATAATAGTTTTTTCGGTAAGTCTGTCTTAATTTTTCTCAATAAGGCATATTTTAAGTTACTATATCAACACTTTTTGAGTAAGTAGAGCTTAACGTCAAGGCAATGGGATTAGGAATTCTTCTTGTCCTCGTTATCAGATCATTATATTTTATAATACTCCTTTTATTTGTGTCTTCATCAAAAACCTCTCTTCTCTGAAAAAAAAACCACAAACATTTTGAGAAAAAAAAATTTCGAATGAGTTGACATAAGAAAAAAATAGGTTCGCAATGCGTACATGTATGGCCTACGAAATTGAGCTGCTTTTCAGTGTCTGATGCCTTCCTGAGTTTCCCTTAGAAGAGCTAATATCTGATTACTGTTAGATAGTTTTAAATATTGTTTCTGTTCATCAATAAAACAAGATAACTAGCATACAATAGTCTTGAAATGCTCATTTTCAAGTTAAGAGTACGTTAATGGCCAAACTTTGTTGTGGAGGTCTCATTTGACAACAAAGGTTGCACTTGTAACCTGAGAATTTTAGGAAGTTAAAAAACGTCACAGGAAGTCATGAAATGTTAAGGTCTGAATAATTCTGGGCATTACTTGGAAAACATAATATTAATCGCACTTCAGTTGTAACATTAAACTACTAGGCTCCTATGGGCAATGGAATATAGGCTTTGTAAAAAATCATTTGTGAAAACCAAAATATTACATCATTCCACATTTTGTGTTGTCCAACAACTTGCTTCAAAACTGGCAAGTAAAATACATTCAAATAGAACATCATAAGCATTAAACTGCAAAAATGATCCTTAAAACGTGCTAAGATATCCTTTTTTTTCACGAAATTTTCATGAGAGCCCAAAAGAGAGATACTTTGCACAAATAAGGAACTATATATATTACTCCTTTAAATAAATAAATAAATCAGATCGTGCCAAAATGTTTCTACACACTTTGTGTAAGCCACATAAAACAGTCGCGACCCGACACTAACTTCTAAGGCAGAGTTCTGGAGGACAATCTCTTAATTACCGCCCAATAAATTTTTCACAAATTGTGCCCATTGGTTTGATGTTTCGCAGATATTATTCCCTTCCCTTCTCTAAGGCATTGTAAAAAAAATTGCACTCTGAAATACTTGCTTACTTGATTCAAAGTCGATGCTCCAGCTTAGAAAAGGAATATACATGAAAAGCCTTAAAGGAACAGACAGGTCTACTCTGTATAATAGGTTTTTTAGATGAATCGAATAGAATCTTGAAACACGTTTTCTGGAGGAAGCAAAAGCCAAAAACTAATGGACGGTAAAGCTTGTATGATAGAACACACTTTTGCTAAGTCTTAATCTACCTAAAGGATTGTAAAGTTATGCTGCTCAAGCGGAATTTTAAAAAAAAATTATTACAAAAATGCATATTTTTGGCTCTTACACCAGGAATAAAAGGTTTGCGACAAGGACGGCGTCCATTGAAGCAGTCATTTGAACAACGTCAGTTTTCAAAAGAAGACTTCCATTCTCTGAACGTAACTCGAGTTGGAATATTGGCTGCCTATGATTTGTTAGACTGCATATTTGAATGTTTAAAAAATGCTTTATGCCTTTCAATAAACATGGCGGCCCTCAAAGGAGCAGGTGGAAAGCTATGTTGCGAACTGTTATCTTCTGATAAGTACAGAGACGCTGAGAACTACAACGAAAACGCCAGTTCACGTCACTTTTCTATTCTGGTAAGGACCTTTTGTGATGCAGATGCAGTTGGTAGTTCCAAAGGGATAAGCATCATTCATTCAAGCTACTGTATAAGCATTCACTATCCTTAATTGTCAGTGTTTGTTTATTTATTTCAGTCTCTATGTTCTTCTTCACCATGTCAAAACGGAGGAACCTGCATCCCAAATTACAAATACGATTCTTACGACTGTCTTTGTGAACAAGGTTTCGTGGGGGAATATTGTGAGAAAGGTAATTCATATTTCATTATTTCTCTTGCTATATTCAATGTAAGCTGTCGCAAAAATCTTTCTTTTTTTCACCTTTTTTTACTGAGGTGAAAAGTCGTCTCCGTATTACCACTGGAATGAAAACAATGCAATTTACTTCTGTTAAAATGCTGAATTACGGTAGGAAAATAAACCAGTTGGACACGATTTTGCCTCTTCGGCTGTTCGAAGGTCTGGTCACTTCCGTGCTGTTCTCAATCTTGCAAAATATACGATTTATTGGACTCTCTTGTCTGAAAAAGAAAATTTTTTTCCTTGAAGTTTTTCCCTCAGGAGGGTTCCCGAAAATGCGAACCATCTATACATTGTCACTTTTATTTCACGTTGATGAATTTCAGTCACCAGTTATGCACAAAATACACCAAAATCGAGAACAAGAATTCAGGGTTTAACAGGTTATAGAAATAACTAGTAGGAACTGGATTAAATAGAGTTCAGAATCTTACCGAGACCCTAAATGTAAAAGAAGAAGATAAACTAACTTGAAAAACCAACTAGATTTCTTTTTTTGTTAAAGCCGTAAAGTCGTGCAAGGAACTATATGACATCTACAGGTTAGTTTCTTTCCGAGCTTGTTTCTCTTACTTGAACTAAAAAAGTATCATTATTACCCCAAGAGCCCCCGGGTGTTAGCAGAAGTGAGCCTCTCCCCCTTAGTGGCACTGCCCAGCATGGAAATGTCCCGCTTGCTTTAGCTCAGCTTTGTATAAAGCAAATGATGAAATGTGGAATCACCTTCTTGTCCCAGTTCCCTTTTAGACGCTTGATGAGAGGGATGTCTTGACGCAAATTTCAACGGATTTATAGAAAGCATTGTAGCAACACAGAGAATATCTTTACATTAAGAAGCACTTTAAAACCCCATTTTTAACTGGAACTACATTGATTATCACATCAAAAAAATCAAATCATTCTTTTTGATAGATCTGAGGTCCGTCAACTGGTAACCCTCCGTTTGGGCTCCAAACCAGTCTCCGTTCTCTGTCAAATGGGAGATTTTGGATGTGGAGTTGGAGGATGGACGCCAGTTATGAAGATTGACGGAAGCAAGGTGTATGGTTTGATTATTCTTAGAGCTGATGTGTGGCACAGCCCTAAACCTTTCAGTGCTACAAAAGCATACTCTATACGGAACTTATTAACTAATACAGATAGCCAAGAGAATATCAACAGTTCGTATTCTCTTGATATAGCCCAAAGCTTGAAAAACTTATTGGATCAATATGTATATTCAATTTCTACTTTTTTGGTATTAATTAAAAAAAAATACAGCTAGCTTTGAGATAAATGAAGGTTGAGGTGAAGATTTTAAGGACGGAAACAACAATATCAAGAACATTTATTTTCGTGACCATAAATCTTACCAAACTAAATAAACACGACGACAATAATGATGACGACCACAGGTCAACTAATAATGGTTTTCCTTTAAATAAGAGCTCGTTTTACAATGTAAAATAAAAATGTAATAACTTAAGTGATTTTTTGTGACGAACTTATAGTAGCAATTAATTAACTATTTTAATCGTTTTCAGGCCACTTTTCATTATAGTGCACATTATTGGAGTGATTATAAAGGTTACAACCTTCCCGGAGGGGAGACTGGGTTCGACGGACAGGAATCAAAGCTGCCCACCTATTGGAACGTATCCTTCTCAAAGATCTGCCTCGGTATGAAGATCGGACAACAGCTCAGGTTCATTGTCATCAACCAGCAGGCTGACTCTCTGTATTCACTGATTGCTGATGGGCAATACCGTGCCACCTCAATGAGTCGCAGCAAGTGGAAAGAGTTGATTGGCTCACAGGCTTCTTTACAGCACAAGTGCACAAAGGAAGGTTTTAATGCCTTTTGCAGTTGGAGTGGAAATTCTAAAGCAAGAATTGGCATTGTCAGCAACAACCAGAATGATTGCGCCTCGTGCGACTCAAGGATCGGATTTGGTACAGGAGGGAGCCCTGACGATTCAAACACGTGTGGTAACGAAGCCGGTCGGTCTCCAGATAATGGAGACAAACACATCAAAGCCATGGGATATATCTTGGTACAATAGAGAAGACTATTCGCAAATTAAACACTCTTCCTTAACTCATCTTGTCCCTGCACCACTGATCTCCCGTTTTACATACGCTCTTTCTGCTTTAGCGCTTTATTTACCCTTTTGTTACAAATCTCCCGCTGATTATTGGAACCTTATCTCCCGTTGTTGATCATTATTTTGCTTCCTTAACGATCAGACACCCTTTTGAAATGAAAAAGACGTAAAAAGAAATGATATTAAGTTTTCGCTGTCACAGATTGAACTCGAGACCTGCAGGGCGGGGTAACCCTTTAGCACTACACTATCAAGATCAATATAAACTTTATTTAAACACGCTAGACTATAATCAATGTTAGTATAATTTCAGGGTTGAGCTAAGAGTTTCCAGCAATCTGATTGGTCGAGCGGTTCCTTATACGACGCTATATAAACCGCTCCACGCGTTTTATATAAAATGTTAAAATAAAATGTAGATAAATGTTACTAAAATGTTATGATTTTAGAAATTTCTCTGTTGTTCAGCTCTGAAATTGTACTAAAACAATTATTCGCCTCAGTTTCGGTGAATTAATATTGTCGAATAATCCCCTTGACTTCGTCTCGGGGATTATTCGACAGTATTCACCTCGCCTTCGGCGAATAATTGTTAATTATAAAACGCTGGTTTCCAATATGGGCGTGAACTAAGTATAAAAATTAAAAACTACTTAAAATAACTGCACCTGAACGAACTTGATTTACGTATTAACATGTACAGGATGTGGACATAATTATACAGGAGAAACGGGCGATTTCCTGAGAAATAGAGTGACAGTTCATAAACAACAAATTAGAGACCCGCACACACGTATGCTGGGAGTCAACAAGCATATTATGAATGTGCTGCGGGATTGACCCCTCGATTCACTATCTTTCCGTTTTACATTATTCTCGGCCCTTCCGAGGTCATGAGAAAGAAGAAAGAAAGATTTTTTATTTCGAAATATAAACCCGTTCCTAATGATTTAAAATTACGCTAATTGCTCGCGCGTGCTTTGAATTACAATAGCCATTATCATTGTAATTACAATTAGATCTGTGCTGTCAATAAACGCACTTTGCTATGCCTGAAGAGCCGCAACAGCGGTGAAACGCGTAGCGCAAAAGCAAAGAAAAAGAGGACTTTCTTTTTTCATTGGTTTTAGTATATGCATATATATGTACTGAGTTAGAAAAATACAACGACTACGCTTTCATCCCCATAAGCCTGTTTCGCGATTGCCCACTCATCAAGGAATTTTAGTGACAAAAATATTCGTAACTATGGTTCATATACTATAAATTTGCATTAGAGGCGTGGCGGTAAATTTAAGTGATTTGTTCAGTTTCTGTGCAGTAACGCTTTGTTTCTGTGGCGGTATGAGGGCACAGGTTCATTACGTTTATCGAGTGATGATAATTCAGGTCGGTAGATGATGAGAAGTTTTTCTTTTAGGCAGAGATTGCATCTATTACTTGCGCTGTTGTAGGGTAATCTTGACGAAAGGATGCGCCATGAAAAAAAGTGGTCAACGTTACTTTCTTTAAGAGTCCAGCTATTTCTAATCGCCCCGACGTGATTTGTATTGGAGATCTCAATTGTGATCTGTTACATCCCATGGATAATGGAAAACAAGGAAGAGAATTGCTAGAGATGTGTGATGTCTATGATCTTCATAATTTAATAAAAGGTCCAACTAGGATTTCCTCCTCGAAAGAATCCTGTCTGGATGTAATATTGAGCAATGTACCCTCAATTGCTCTGAAGTCTGGTATTGTTGACATTGGATTGAGTGACCATATGCTAATTTACAAAATTTTTAATAGGAAGTTATTGAAGCCGAAAGCCCGCCTAACAAAAGGAAGGTGTTTTAAAAAGTTCAATGATGAGGAATTTAACAAAGATCTGCAGCTCGTTCCTTTTCATGCGGCTTACGTATTTGAGGATATAGATGACATCTACTGGGCACGGGAAGAGTTGTATAAAAATATATTGGATGATCATGCCCCCATCAAATACAGAAAAGTCAGGGAAGGCTTCTGTCGATCAAAAATTTATCACCCCAGAAATACGTAGAGCCATTAGTCACAGGAATGCTCTTAAGCGAAAATATAACAAGTCAAAAACGCCTGAAAACTGGGAGGCATACAGGATTAGGCGTAACCGTATGGTAACCATGCGACGCAAGTCCGTGATTAATCACTTTGATCAGTTATGCTTCAATGCCGCTGGGAAACCCAAAGAATTCTGGAACTCACTTCGTCCTCTGATGCATTCAAAGAGATGCGCACCAACTGAATATATCACTCTTAAAGAGAACAATAAAATAATGAAAGATCAGAATCAAGTTGCAGAGATTCTGAATAGTTATATTAAAAATGTGACAGAAAGCCTGGACATCCAACAATACACTTCTTTTGAAAATCAACCGCACTTGTCAAATATTCCAAGGAACTGGAATCAAGACGAACAGTTCGAGTTCGATTTAATTAATCATGAGTTGGTCAAGACTGCTCTACAGAGAATGAAAGCAAACAAAGCAACTGGTCATGACCATATATCACCACGTGCACTCGAGGCGTCTATTCCATCAATTACACAGCCTCTTAGTCATCTAATTAATACTATCATCACTTCGAGAGCAGTCCCTGACTCTTGGAAACGAGGAGAGATCGTACCACATCATAAAAAGGACTCACAATTAGAGAAGGAGAATTTCCGACCAGTCACAGTTCTTCTAGCAATGTCTAAGATCTTTGAACATTTTATTCATCAATAATTGACAGTTCACTTAGAAAGGTTCTTCATAATTTTGTATTTGGATACAGAAAATATCATGGGTGCCCAACGGCCCTCCTTGCACTCACTAAACAGTGGAAGGAAGATCTTGATAATCGTAACATTATTGGCACAGTAGTCATTGATTTAAGTCAGGCCTTTGACTGTCTACCACATGACTTAATTCTGGAAAAACTTAAATTTTATGGCTTAGGTGATCAAGCGCTATCTTTAATGCAAAGCTATCTCTCTTCTCGCCATCAGAGAGTGAAGCTCGGCACCGCCTTCTCCACGTGGGAAGGGGTGTTAAAAGGAGTCCCTCAAGGCTCTGTCTTGGGACCTACGTTGTTTAATATTTTTATAAATGATTTGGCGTATGCAATAACACGATGCAGGATTATTAATTATGCGGATGATGCAAATATCTATTGTTCCAATAAGAACGTACGTGCCGTTGAAGACAACCTAAATAGTAGAGAACTTAAAGTGCTACTGAAACGAAATTTTCGTATCTGAAATTTTTGCTCTAACCTGTAGTTTTGAATATGCTGATCATCATGAGATAATTTGCTTTGGCCAAAATGAAGCGAAAGATATCTTTTTTAACCGTTCAAATCAAAAATTTTACACAAAACCATGTCCGGGCTCTGGTACCGAGCGAAATGGATTGATGACCTCACTGGTTGTGTTCACTTCGATNGATATATATATCTTATTATTAAAAACTAGATCATTGGATAATGCAATTAAAGACTTTTTATTGGCTTAGCCATTATGGTATATCAGCCAATATACCATAATCTACAAATATGGCAAGCGTACATGTCAGATTAAAATTAAAAGGGAGCTACAAGTGGAATAAAATTTAATTTAATTTAACGTTTTTAATAAAACAATTATTCCACTCGCGCTTGTTGGATATGAGATGATTAGAGAACTTAAGCACCAGGCTATTTTGCGACGGCGACGGTGACCGGAAGTGACTTTTTGTTCCGGTAGGCGTTCTGGAGTTGTCTGTCAAGTCGCCTTCGTTTCGCGCGAACGTGAGAACCTTCATTTTGGCGTTGTATCCAGAACGTGAGTATTTTTCCCTCACTAGCTTGTCTCAAACTTGTTGTAACATTTTATTTTGCTCTTGTTACCTTTTTAGAATTATTTTCTTTATGTTGTTCAATTTGTATACTCAAACATAGATAAACACACGGACATTTTCATTTCTCGTTGCTTTGACCAAAAAAATATGTTGGCGCCCGCCTCCGATGGAAAGCCAAAGTAAGCTTAACTATTAAATCTTTCGAAGACATTTCAACGGAAAATATTTTTATGTTTATCGTAATAAGTTTACATTTTTCCTCGACAATCGGTCGAATAGATGAATTGTCGTATTTTGCTTTTAGAGCTATGGAGTGGACTGAAGATCATAATGTTATTTTTCTTCGAGAAATCCTGGCGAGCGATTTGTTTTCATTCAAAAAAGAAAGTGTTGCCAGGGGAGAAAGGTGGGAATCGATCAAAGAAAAGTTAAATCAAGTGAATACACTCTGTTTTCATCTCAGAGATAAGAGGGCAGTAAGAGACCGATGGGTTCTTCTCCAGAAGAAGTATAAGGCTAAGATGCATCAAGAAATAACTGCAAGTGGAATATCCGTGGACGACATGTCTGAAATAGATGTTTTTCTTGAAGAACTCGTCGGGAAAGAAGAAAGCTTAAACAAAGTTGGTGATGCTCAGTCAAGAAAGCAAAAAGAAGATAAAAGCAAGGCAGAGGACATAAGGCAGAAAGCTTTAGAGCGATACAGGAAACGAAAAAGCGCAAGTCAACAGAGAATTGAGATGAATGCGAGGAGAAACCGAAGCGCCAAAGGAGAAGTGCTCGCACCGAACCACTAGTTGAATTCATGCAAGAGAAAGTCAAGACTGGGCGAGAATTACGACAACAAGAGCTGGATCTAAGAAGACTAGAGCATGAGCAGAATCAGCAAGTGATGGTGACTGTCTTACAGCAACAACAACAAACAAATCAAGCCATTCTGTCGGTTATTCAAAAGCTTCTTGAGAAGAAAGAATGACATTTTCCCTAAGTATGAACATGTAAGGTCAGTGTTTATTTGTTTCAGCAAAAAGACAGGTATTTGTTGAAATTGATGTCTTTAAATTCACTTGCGTTTTGTGAATTCGAAAAAAAAAACCAAGTTCATTCATTATTATTGTTACAAGTTTGATCACTTCTGCATTGTTGACCACCAAGAAGATTTCAAGTACTTAATGAATTTGTGTTTAATCAAAAGAGCCTTCATTTCTGCTCGGTTTATTTGAGAGAATTTATCTAAAATAATACTGCAATGAAGGAGGGTCTAGACCAAAAAACTCTGAGGTTTTGTTTCCATATAGGCAGGTAACAGCATTATTAAGAAGTGCACATACAAGATACATTTTTCCCACAATACTCATTCCAATTTTCAGGTTTTTCTTAAAATCCAAAAACTTTAAGTCGTTGATGATGTCACCAAAGAGCGATTCCACAGTTACTCTAA